CCGTTCAAGATAAACATAAGCTCCAAGGCAGTTCTATAGGAAAACCCTGGTGTAAACAGGCAGTGTGAATAAAATTTTTATAGACCCTACAATAGAGTTTTAACATCTGAACAAGCTTAAGTGCAATTACAACACATGCACCCTCAGACTGGGTTGGCAGTGGCTGATTAGCTGCATTTTGCTTCTATAAAAGCAGGTCTGGTGTTCATAGTTTTTTTTTCTTCCTTAAAGCAAGATGAAACGGTTAAATGACTCAGCAGGGAGGCTGGGGCATCTGTGCTCAATTTGGCCTACATGGAGAAAGATGTGAGATGTGTCGCAGGAAGGTGAGAAAGAGCCAGAGGACGTGAAGAAGTTGGATTGAAAGCTAATCTGGTATCTCTGGTCCAAACTTCTTTTGTGTTTGCACCGAAAATGTGATGCAAAAACCGAGTCGCAAGATGTTTAACTGTAAGAAAGGTAACACCTGATGAAATTCAGCAGGATGCATAAAGCAAAGGATGGACTAAACTAACCAAGTTAAAAGCAATAAATGTTTCTAGCATTCACTAGTCTGGCTTGAATGATAGGGTGGCCAGATGAAGGCCACTACTCAATGAAGGACGTATAGCAACCGGTCTGAATCCAAAAGGCACCTGAAGAACATTATACCACAGCAAATAATAATTGTCTGCTCTGATGCGACATCGATTAAACTTTTTCCGTGAATGTCAGATGTCATGTATGAAAGAAACCAAGCACCACGACAATACCTTCCCTACAGGGAAGCATAGTGGTGGCAGCATCATGCAGTTGAGAAGTTTTCAGCAGCAGGAACTTGTTAGTCAGGATAGAAGGAAATATTAATGTAGCAAATAAAAACCTGCTCTCATTACACTCTTGATCTCAGATGGAGGCAGTGACCCAAAGCGCACGGCCACGATCTCCAAGAATGTCCTGTAGTGGTCGGACCAGAGTCCAGAACTGAATCTGATTACACAGATATGTGACCATGGCTGTAAACATCCAACCTGATGGAGCCTCAGATATATCTCTAATAAGAATGTGTAAAACTGCCTAAAGTTGTGCTAAGTTCGAGGCATCAGGCTGTAGTTAAAGACGTATAGACAAAGTTTTAAGCACAGGATGTGAATACGAACATAAATAAGATTCCTTCGTTTTATATTTTTAAAAGATTTTCAACATTCTGAAAAAAAAAATGTTTTCCATATTTATATAAAAGGATTATTGATGTAATATTTTGAGGAAAGAGCTTAATGAAACATCATTTGGAGTAAGGCAGTAACAATTCTAACAATGTGAGAAATTAGCATTTTACTACCAAACATTTGCTGCCATATTTAAATTTTTCCTTACTTTTACAGACTTAAAAAATCAAATCAATATACGATAAAGACCTTTTGGGATTGTTTAGCCCCTTGGCTTTTAAAAGCATAAACACTGAAGTATGCAATTACATGAAGTTAACAACTATAATACATTTTTTAGTCTGAGAAATATATATTGGATTATAATTAATGTTTAACTGAAAATGTCAAATTTCTTACCCAAGAAACATTATATATTATTTAATATGGCAGGAAAGAAAGGTTAGATTTCATTATTTCACGATATTCTATTGAAAACAATGCAGAACACTCAGGTCACACAAGGTAGACTTAAAAAAAACAAAATTTTATTTTTATTAGATCATTCTCTTTTAATGTTTATTTATTTACTTAAAAAAATGAAACATCTCTGCAAAAACCCAAATGCTAAATAATCTGAAATGATTTATATCTTAGAAACATTAAGATAATTGAATTTACAAATCATACACTTGACATGGGTTAAATATCTGGTGCTTTTATCATCATTTCTATTCGTGGTAGCAAATATTTTTTGCAGCTTAGGTGTAAATATCCATTTTTTAGCAAAGAATGAATTTGATCCTGTGAACGATTCTTATAAAGCTAAAGGTTTTGTCAACCAAAAACCCTTTGCTTGTCGCTACTTGAATGCTTTGCACCAACTACAAATGTCAAACCATAAATCTGGATGAAAGATTTTTCTCAGTTGTTTTTGGATGATAGCCATTGCCTTCAAAGTTTTATTTTCACTCAACCGTAAAGCCCTTAAGGTGTAACACATGATGCTTATCGGGAGGTAATTAAAGCCCATTCATTGTTATCCTATCATTAGTTATGATTTCAAAAAGAAACAACAAACAAAAACCCAACATGCACTCCTACAGTATAGTGTTTTAACAGCGAGCCCACAGATTTCATCTCAGGTTATGAATTTTTCCATTGGGGACAAATAGTTTATCTTCACTTTTGGATTTTAACACATTTTGAACAAACTGTCTAAAGCAAATAAAGTTGCTAAAGCTACACCTATTATAATTATAATAAAACAATTATAATATTTGCTCCTTAAATAAAGTGGCAAAGAAGCATAGATAGAAATACCCAAATACTTTAAAATAGTTCTTAATATCCACCATTTAACCTAAAAATGGTTTTAGATACGCATTAGAAGAAATGAATATTCACTAAACTGAAGCTTGCAAATAGAGCAGCTGCTTTATGGGATGTTTGATAAGCTGCATGGTTTGGAGCTCTAGAGTCAAAAGGCACTAGGAAGGAAAGAAAAGGTGATTCATTTGCCTGTAAAATTTTTAAAAACATGGGTTTGATATTTATGACCTACAGTATACGTTCTTTACTGGTTTAGAACATAGACTTAAGATAAAAAGAAAAAGCCACAAACCTTCAAATCAAATAAAGAACCTAATGACACAGACCTATCAGAGATTCAGCTCTCTAGGAACCCAAGTTAGTTTCACTGTAAAAAATCTAAATCTAGATAAGTCATTTTTTTCTTAAAATAAGTGCATTTGTTCTTGAATTGAGGAGGTAAAAGAGACATTTTGCCAATAAAACAAGACAATTTACCGGTACACTTAAAATAAGAAAACACATTTAAATTGTCTTATTTCAAGTGCATATTATCAAATTATCTTATTTTAAGAGTAAAATGTCTCATTCCATTGGCAAACTCATTTAACTGCTCAAATTAAGGGTAAATACACTTAATTTAAGAAATTTTTACTTATTTTTATATAGGTTTTGCAGTGTAAGTCTTCACTATCTGACACAAATAGGCTATGACCAAATTAGAAATATGATCTAATAGATATAAATCAAAATGCATAGAGAAAAATAGAAAATAATAGACTATGAAGGTTAATGCGAAGGAATGAACTGATTCGAAATGCCTTTTTATGATAATGAACTCAACCTTATTTGGCAAGACCCATTAAACATAACTATGAAAAACACAGAAACAATCAAAATAAAAATGAAAACCAAAACATTGAAAGAACTGCAGGTTTTTAACAAATCTGCAGTTAATTTTAAAGGATTGGGTCAAATCTAAGCCCATGAAACATATAAACACAATGTAAAACACAATTTATGCATGTGATTCACAAGTTGCTCTTTGAAACAATTACTTTCAAATCTAGTAAGGAAGCTTTATTAATTCTGAAAATGTTTGCTTTTAAAATATAGATGACCTTGATTAAATTACCCGCCTGCATCTAGTATGATAACTTTAAAATCGAAGTGCAACTTGGAGAGCCGTGTCATCGTAGCTCGCATTTAAAAACAAACAGAACACACTCCTGCTGACAGAGGCGTGTCTCAAACAACAAATAAACTCTGCTTAAGTTAGATGCTGATTTCTGCATTCATTCGGTGGTCGCAGACATTAGAAAAGTGGATTGCACTCAGAGTTTCTGCTAGTTTCATAGATTAGTGAAAAACAACACAAGATAATGGTGATTTCTAGATAAAAAGTGATGTAAATTTTCAAACATCCCTTTAGAGTTGTGCTTGTTTCTTGAACATGCATCACATTTCATTGTAAAAGTGTGTGTGCATGTGTGTAAGTGTGTCTCATGCATATATTTTACCCCTGAAGTAAAGTGGGGTCAAACCAGTTAGTCTTGTCAGAGCAATTTGTAGCACAGCCTGCCTGTTGCACGGCGCTGCATGCTTTCTTTTTAGTCTCCAAAGTGTGTATGTGGAACCGAACATGCGGGCAATGGAAGTGTGTGTTTTTACAATAAGTGTGAATACTTGCATGTGAATGTGAGATATGCTTTGAGCATCCTACATGTGTGCGTAACACAGTAGGCTGCCCCCAGGCTGATATGTGTCCACTCACTCAAACAGGCCATCTACAGTTCTGACTCCCTCTCGCTCTGTCATGACCCCAACCATTTGGAGGTCAACGCTGCACTCGGTCAGCCAGAAAACTGACTCCAGGTCTGGGCCTATGTGGGTTTACCGGCAAGCAGGCTTCTCCAGTGTGGAATAAATACACGGTGTGGATCAATACGAAATAGCAAAAGGAAGAAAATATATTTTATTGAACATGTTTGAAAAGAAATTTTAGAGAAATCGATCGGTTAGTTACTCAAATGTTATCAGCCCACCTCAGTGTGGGTCACCAATTTTGTATTTTAGTTCTTTATCTTTTATGATAAGTAATTCTTACAATAAAATAAGAAATGATAGTCATTTACAAAAAGGTTAAAGATTATCTTAAAGACCTTCTGAACTAAAAAATCTTAAACTCTTTTGGAAATGTATCGTATTTACTTCACATTTAAAAGTCAGCCACAGGGATCAAGTTCTTGATGAGGTTCTTATGGCTGAAAACCTACATCAACCAGTTGTTAAAGTAGATCCTGGGTGGATTCGAAGGTTTTAAAATTAAATTTATTTAGTTAAATGAACTCCCATCTGGATTTATCTCTTTAAGGCATTCAAAGATTATAAATGTTATTCTTCCCCCATAGACTTAAAGAAATTATAATACTGACGATAATGATGCTAAAATTTAAGGTTAGAGTCTCAAATTTAACCGACATTGAAATAAACTGCGTTGAAGCGAAACAAAAAAACACAATCAGCCTGAACATTTTTGGTTTCTCTGTTCTGTTCCCGCAGGGTTCGGGCTTTCATGCATCGCGTAGACAGAAGTACGGAAATGTGTTCAAGACCCACCTTCTCGGCCGTCCCCTGATCCGAGTGACGGGAGCTGAGAACGTCCGTAAGGTCCTGATGGGGGAGCACACGCTGGTGACGGTTGACTGGCCCCAGAGCACGTCCACACTGCTGGGGCCCAACTCTCTGGCCAACAGCATCGGAGACATCCATCGCAAGAAGAGGAAGGTCAGAGCACTCAGCCTACACTCTCAAACACTGAGGGTTGATCAGTTTAACTGTTTGAAGCTGCAGAAATGAGTTTGATGCAACTGAAAGGTTTCACCAAGCTCATTGTTCACATATAATGCATTACATAAAGGTAAAGAATATTGCTTTTGAAAAAGCAATACTACTCTGAAGTAATATGCATCTAAATTAGATGGAGGTAAAACTCAAAAGAAAATCCAAATGTTTTAAGTTTTTTTAAAAGCAGAATCGGCAAACGGCTGATATTAATGCCTAAATAGTGAATTAGGCTGAATGTTGAGGATTTACATTCTGTTGTTACAAGAAAATGTGACACATTTTCATTTCCAGTTAAAGCAGTCCTATATTAAATTTTGATTTTGTTTGTTTTTTATTTAAAGAAATTCTACATAAGAATTGAAAGTTTCCAATCTTTGTAACTTATTTGATTTTTATTAAGATGAAAATTTAAAAGAGATATTTATATTTACTCTGAGCTCATTCACATGTTTTATCTACAATATGTAACATCACATATTCACACATATTCTATAATGAGAAAAAGGACCGTTCCATCTCAATACTTTTTTAAATAACATTTAAATTTTCTGCAGATTTATTTATTCCTGATTTGACATGTGTTAATCTTATAAATGTTATTGCAAAGCTGTGAAATTTTTACTCAAATGCTTAAATGTTGCTAAAAATACAGAAAAACAGGAAAAGTATAGAAATTTAAAAAGATAGAAAGCTTTTATTAAGAAGCGGCAGAAAAATGACACAAATGTTGACATATTAGAATTACTTTGCTTATAATTGCCAAAGACTGAAAAGCAGCTCAAACATTTTTATATTACTTACTATGCAAAATTAATTTTAAGAAAAAAAGCAGATAAAGGTGCTAAAAACTCCTGCGTAGAGCTTATTATTTTGAGACTTAAGTAACACAAAACTGAAGCAGATCTTTATCAGTCTAAAATCTGAACTGTTTCATATTTATGCAGGTGTGTCAAAGCAGAAAACTACAAAGTTGACTATATAGAATTAAATTGCTGAACCAAATCAATGTATGGCATTTGGATCTATGTTTTAATACCAGGCTTTTATACCAAATATCTTCTATATTAGACCTCATATTTTAGATGCAAAAGCTTAAAGAGGTGCTGATATTGTGATAAACAAGTTAAAAAAAATGTGGATTAATCCCAATCAGTGTCATTATTGTAAAAGTCAACATTTGTCTCTCAATTGAGTATTTTCATTATTTTAAAAAGAAAAAAAGAGTAGGAGAGATTCTGAACTGTAAGAATAAAACAGTTTAAAACACGTCCATGGAAGTGTATGAAATGTAAACTTTCTAAGCAGGAAAGTAAATGGTAAATGCAAAGTATTGATGCTCTATGCTGAAGCATAGACTGACTCAGAATCTAAGGATTGGTGTAAAACTATCCCTCAGGCTGAGTGTTATCAGCGCGTTTTGCCGAGTGAAGCATGAGAATGACTTCTCCATCATTCCACCCTCTTCTCTTCCGAAAGGAGACTGTCTTCGATTATCAGTTTTTCCGTCCCTACCATCCCTTCCTCTGTGTTGTGTGTATGAGAACCATTACCGGTAATAACCTTCCTCTCCTGCTCACCTGATGCGCAAACACACAAGTCAAAAAGCTTGAGAAAGAGCCCACCGTGTTTTCCTGTAAATCAGCTTCATTTTCTCTCATTTTGAGGAGAGGGAGAGGCTTCGGTTTCGCTGCCATGGTGCCTGGGGACGGCAAGGGGTCGTCTGGGTCTAATCTGAGCTCTGATCCCTTCTCTTCTCCCCTGAGACCCCAGGACTAACCTCATGTAATGACCCCTGATTAGGAAGGCTGCCTCCGACATGGCACAAAGAGGGGCTTTCTGTGTGGGGGCCTGACACACACAAACACACAAAGCATGGAAGTGCATCTGTGCGCACACACCTGAACTCTGCCTGGCTTTATACACAATAAAACACACAGCAATGGATGTGAAATCAGGAAGGTTGATTTTAGAGATAATTTCATGTCTCATCTTGCTGTGCAAAAAGGACATGACAACCAGTTTTCCACACCTACTTCTACTCTATCTGTAACACCTGGATAGCAACAAAAACTGATCTAGTGTGCAGATGAAGAGATTAAGTGTCTTTTGGAAAATATCTTTTGTTAACAACAAAGTTATACTTTCACTACAAAGAGATTTCCAAGAACATGACAAGGGAGCTGAGTTTTGGTAATATAATACTGAAGAATACAACAAATTAAAAAGGTTCTTCATGTTTTAGACTATAGATGGTCTTTTTTTAAGTTGGTTCTGCAAAGCCAGTCTCAAAATTCCCAATATTGCATTCAGTAGGCAGCAGTTAAAGTAGTCTAGTGAAAATGAGAGTGAAATAAAGTAAAGCTTATCTCCACTGTCAGCTGCTTAAAAGAGTGGCTTTACTATCTAAAATCACTTCAACTAAAAATGTTATAGTTTCAGTAAATAAAAAAATAAACAGACCATAAAAACAATTTAAGAATCAAGTAGCTAATTAAAATTTTTTCAAACACGTATGTTGATTTTTAAATTAAAGTTTCAAAAATGTCTGTTGGAGGAAAGAAAAAAAAAGAGGAGCAGATTAAAAAGTGTAAACCTGTATTTTTTTTCCAACTCAATTAGAGGCTAGAATTATGAACTTGATTTATCAATTAGCAAAGCCACACAGATATTGTATACAGGAGTACATTTTGACACACACATATATACATGTCTAGTGCAAAAGGGACCAATTGTGTTTAAATTGTTTAAGTTGTTATAAGTAAACCGTGAAATATGCCCCGCTTTGAGCTAAGCTTGCTCTTAACTGGTTATTATTTCACCTAAAAGCTTATCTTTTTGTCTCTGCAAACTTGCATTGTTGTTAGTTTTACTTTAATTATTTTTAACTTCAACTTTTCGAAAATGCTAGTTTTATCAGAATTAGTTTATTCAACAGGTCATAGCTATTAGGTTGACTTTTGCAACTCCGGAACTGAAATGTATAAACCTTTAATGTTATGCATCTGAAAAAAATATATATTGTGAGTAAATACAAGCTTGTGTTTGGATAGCTTTAACTTCAATTAATACAAGCTATGAAAACATTTTCTTGAACTTAAGTAAAACCAGAGATTTTACATTACTACTCACTCAACACAATCAGCCAAATAAGTGAAAAGGAGGGGCTGCAGAAAGCAAATTTACAGCTATTGAAATGTGTGGCAGGCCCATTGAATACTGAACTGTAAAGGGGTCAGCTAGTGGTGCTTCCAACTAAATATCTGAAACATCATTCTATGAAGGAAGTTACCTATTTAAAGCAGCATTTAGAATGATTTTAAATAACTGTCCACTTGATTCTAGCTATCAATTTGATTTTGAGATGTTGGTGCTCAGGTAGCAGTGGGTAGCACTGCTACCTTGCAGCAAGAAGGTTCTGGGTTCGATTTCCTGCCAAGGGTCTCCCTGCATGAAGTTTGCATGTTCTCCCTGTGCATGCTTGGGTTCTCTCAGGGCACTCCAGCTTCCTCCCACAGTCCAAAAACATTACTGTTAATTTGCCTCTCTAAATTCTGCTCAGGTGTGAGTGTGTGAATGCTTGTTTGTCGTGTTTGTATGTCTGTTGCCCTGCGATGGACTGGCGACCTGTCCAGGGTGAATCCCGCCTCTCGCCCATAGACTGCTGGAGATAGGCACCAGCACCCCTCATGACCCCAGCTGAGATTAAGCATGACAGAAAAATTGATAAAATGTTGTTACTGATTATTCATACTTAGATGTTATAAATGCTGCATACTGCAAATAACACACACAGTTGTCAGATCTATTCCCTTTAGCCCAAGAGAATCATTATCTTTTTTAAATAAAGACCAATATTTTACTTAACAAAAGCATGATTTTGTAGGGAGTGTGTGAATGCAGTGTGGTAGATTTGATGGCTACAGTTGGTCAGTGTGTGTGTGTTCGTTGGCAGTACTAAGTCGAGTTTTCTGGGTGATAAAACCAAGTCAACAGACTGAGACAGGACGACAGCGGCTGAGAATAAGAATGAGCAATTGGCTTACTGTTTGACCTACTGGACCCGAGTGTGTATGTCTGCCCTCCCTGAGGTTTTTGCACGGAAAAACAATCTTCACACAGCACATTAGCCTTTAGTGGATCAACAGAGCCAGCCAGTTTCCATATAACCCAGTATTGAGCTGGAAAGCTAAGTCTCTTAAGGAACCACAGAGGGCTGGGTTTCCAAGAAAGACCAGCTTGTGCCAAACATTCAGGAGTATCAAACTGACTAAAGCAAATCTGTAACATGCATATGTCTGTTGCCTTCAAGAATACAAAAGCTTGATCTAATCAATCTGAAGCACTTTAGTCTTGTAAAGATGCCACTGAACTAACAAAAGTTTTGTTGAATCAAAATTTGAACCAGGTGTATGTCACTGTCAGTCAGCTCTGTCTGACCAACATCAGAAAATATGTAGCAATGAATGATGTCTTTGTCAGACTAAACTCTATACCTTTTAATGCTAAATGATCTATAATTTAGATTATAGGTAATGTAATTTATATAAATATATATAAATAAGCAGAAACAAGAAACAAAAGCTGTCAACTTACTCTGTAAATCTAAATCAGGAACTTGTCAGGCAATGCAGACATTTAAAAGATGGCTTTTATATGCTGTACTGCAGTGAGGTGATGCCTCATCAAGCCTCACATATTTTCCAAATAATTGTTATTACCAGTAGGGGGCACTGCTATTTCTAACTGTTTCTCTCCATCTCTCAGGTCTAAATGTAACACATTTGCAAAATTTGAAGCTTTATAAATAGGAGATTTTTGACATTATTAAAGAATCTAATACATATTTGGTCTAAATCAGTAAAATCATTCAGTTAAAGTTGTTAAAAAGTGACTTGAAATCATAATGATGGTAAACAAGTGTTTGGAAACATTTTTTTTAAGTAGTGGAGTAGAATTAGTTTAAAACAAGATCATCTTTAATTAAGAAAAACTGCAAAACAACTCACTATACTAACCATGAACCACTATTCATGGTTTTGTTCTTGTTCTAAAACATTCACTGTACTTATTTGCATTTATGTGATAAGGCACCAGATAGAGCACGGCATTTATGTGGTACTGTAGATGAAGACTGATTTTTAGTTTTTGATAAATAAAAAAATAAAGGTTTAAAAGCAACTTTTGGTTCATCTGTCTCTACCAGTTTTTAGGTTTTTATTAATGAGACTTAATTGATACATTTTAAGATGCTCCACAGATTCTGCACACACAAAAATGCTTTGATTAAAAACATTTCATCAATCCCTGGATGTATGTTCGCAGTCCTTGTCCTGTTGGAAGGTGAACCTTTGTACAAGTCCCAAGTCTTCTACAGCCTCAACGAGGTTTTCCTCCAGGATTGTCCTGTATTTAGATCCAATTCAAATTTCAATCAATTCTGACAAACTTCCAGATCAAGAAAGTATCCCACACAGCATGCTTCTACCGCCACCATGTTGTACCACTGGAAGGGTGCATTTAAATTGTTACACTTAGACCACAAGTTTTCTTTTTTTGTCCAAAGACTTCAATTCTAGTGTCATTTGACAAATTGAAATGCTACTGACATGACCTCCTGTAGATTTCATTAAACAGTGGCTTTCTTCTTAATGCACATCCATAAAGTCCAAATTTGTGGAGTGTAAGTTTATTTGCTTCTGTACTGACAGATTGTCCCTACTAACCTAAGTATATTTGCAATTTCTCAAGAGTCACCATGGACCAATTTTCAGTTTCTCTCTGTATAATGCGCATCCAAGCAAAAATTGTTTGAAAAGACATTAAAAGGCGACATCATTTACTTCCAAATGACATGTACAATTGGTTGAAAAGTGAAAGACGGTGAAGACTGGGTTTTTAACGTGTTTTATTAGACTAAAGTTGGACAAAATAAGACCGACCAAATACAGCCCAATTATCGACAAATATTCCTGGACTAAACCAAGTCTACGACGAACCGACCAGATTTAGCCCAAAAACCAATGACCTCTGGTGTTCGGGCAGTTACTTTAAAACAAAAACTCGTCAAATAGATATATGGGTGTTGGGAGCCAGTCGGCCTACTTAAAATTTTAGAAACAAGAAACTTGAATCTTATGGTCTCTTGTCTGAGATGTAAAACATGGTCGGGGAAGCAGAAGCTAATACTTAAACATCGCTTGGCCGCTCAGACATCTTGACCCCTTCACCAACAAAGCCATCTCTGATTCAGATTGATGACAGAAGTGTGAAATACGTACAGTATGAAGTGAAAAGAAGAGAGCGAAGCAGTATTTCTGAAAAGAGGATGGATGAAGGGGGCAGGCAGAGACGGGAAGAGGTGGGAGCACTGAGGGCAGAGAAAAAGAATAAAGGAGTCTTTACATGTCGGTGGAACCAGCAGCTCGCAGCACTTTCACATAATTTAAGACATATGGACGTTATTAGGACAACTGTGTTCGTGAGTGTGTGTTTTGTCTTTGCGCTGCAGGCTACAGAAGACAGTCACGTTTTTGTGGTGCAGTAGAATGACTTGTACAGAACAATCCCCCTTTAGCACACTCCACCACCCCTCTACCCTCATCCAAACTGGGACCTGGACGTCCCAGAATGACGCTGCAGTAAAGCAGCGTTTGATTGGCAGCCAGGTTTTGCAGAGAGATGCTGGGTGGGTGTGTGTTTGGATGACCTGTAGTTACCTTTAAGGGTGCAACACAGTGACAGACTGACTCCTTGGTCCTACAGTAGCGCAGCCCTTCTGCCCCCTGTCTATTCATGTCTGAGTGAGTGTCAGCAGGGAAGGCAGCCCGAGCAATGATAAACAATCCAGCACAGACAGGTTAGACGGATGAATTTACAACCAGACATCTTGTAATCTTTTAAAGTGGTCTAAATCCAAAGTTCTTCAGGGGCTTTTGTTGGTCTTTGGATGGTTTTCTTTGGACTTAGATTTTTTTCTCTCACTTTCACTCAAAGTAATTAAACAGGACCTAAAACTTATATTATTTTCTCATCACTGGGAATAACTTTGTTAAATCTATATCCTTTTTTCTGTCTGGAAAGCCATGTTAGTCTGGATAATTTTCTGTGATTAAACTCAATATTTGACCAAATCTGTCTTTGAGATTAGTGGTAACAAGAGGCCTAAATATTCAGTTTAGGATTACTTCAATCCTAAACTGTCTTTTATGCTGACACAGCCACGGTTCATTAAATATATTATTTTTACAGAATGACAATTGTTCTTGAATTTATTAAAAAAATGATTGGAAATTGGGTGAAGAAGTCCAACTTTAAGCTGCTGTCACACCGTTTTTTCATCTTGCACTGTATCCTGGATAAATCAGAACCACATTGATTAATATTAACATGGCAGAAGGAATTTGTGGAGCATTTTAAAGTTTAAGTGTCAGTTTTAATGCATCAGCTCTAAATTATGAATGTGGGTTAAATTCAAGGGTACTGAATTTCTTTTTTCCCCCAGCATTTATTGTCATTCCACTGTCACAAGTACAGAGCAACGAAATTCACTCTCTGCATTTAAATCATCCCCTTGGGGAGCAGTGGGCTGCCATTGTGTGGCGCCCGGGGAGCAGTGTGAGGTTAAGGGTCTTGCTCAGGGACCCAGAGTGGCAGTCTGTGGGAGTGGGGCTCGAACTCAGAACCTCAGGTTTCCAAGCTTTATGCCCTAACCACTAGGCCTCCACTCCACCCACTTTCCAATGTCCAACTGTATCTTATCAAATTATATATTTTTTTCTTTTCTTTCTCATATTTAACTGCTTATAGTGCTGAGGAACAGAATCTAAGTACTAATTAAACATTAGCTCTGAATAACATTAGAGTTATTTTGAAGAAGGGTGGTTTTGGAAGACCCTCTCCTGCAACAGACTTGTGATAGACACTTTAGAAAAAAGATCCCCCTCATTATAACTCTCTCTTTTAGAATGATCGCTGTATCTCACAGACTTATATTGAGTTTAACCAAGTTTAACCAGGATTTAAAAAACAAAATCCTACAAAGCTGTATAGTTCTTTTGAAATTCACTTTAATTGGATCTTTCATTTACAGAAAATTGATAAATAACTGCTAACATCAATCAATTTTACACTAAAAAAGAAATAAGTTTAAACACAGTTGCTAAATAACACTAAAAAAACTATATTTTGTAGACATATTAGCATTTTTAGACATGTAGAACTCTAAACAGCTGGAGGAAGGCAACCATTCACAGGTCCTCTTTGAACAAAGAACCAAAACTAAAACCTTGATGTCAGATTCTGTTTGTAATCTGCTCTTAAAGAGGAAGATGCCGTGTAATATTTGCTGATTTGAGACCTGCAGCCACTTGATGTAGCAGCCACATGAAATGCAGCCGTGCTAACATACCCAAACAGTTAACAGACATAACTAAAACGTAAACACTTTCATGCAAGCAGCGGGGACTCAGTAGACCATTGTTTATTCATTAAGTGGAAGGATGGGCACAGGATTTAAAGAAATGAGCAGTAAAAGAGGAACATAAAGGGCAGCAGAATGAGGTAAGGGGAAAAAAGAGGAGGATGAATGCCCAAGTGATGGTGAACCACATGGATCAAATCCCAGTGGGAACTCCTTTCCTCCCTCTTTATGTCTGACTAATGTAGTGCCCCTTTGTTGACATAAATGTACTTCATTATATTCTAAATAATTTTGATGTAATTTTAAAATTGCTGCATTGTTATGCTACGGCAGGGCTTCCTTAAAAAAAAAGAGATGTTAATGTCAACTATCCCTATTTTAGGTTTCATTTATAACAAAAAGAGAAAATGAGGAAAGAGAAACTGATGTGTGACTTTTCTGTGAACCCACATCTACTGTGATCGTGTCAGAGGTAGCTGATGGGCCTGACAGGCCACCAGTCTTCGCACAGAAGCTCTGATATAAAAAAAAAAGCTTATTCAGGCCTTCCAGACTCATTTCATCAAGCAGAAAATGCAAACCATGTGCAGCTGTTTGCTGAGCATTGTGCTGGAGGATGTGCCATTTTGCCTCCTTCAGATTCCTGATTCACTCAAACCTTGTCATGGAAAATCTGTGGAACTTGAACTGAAAACTGGTTTCCTGAAATGGACCCAATAGGCATCTTCTTTATGTCACGTTCTCCAATAGCTCTGACTGTCAGATCCATGAAAATGTCTTTGTTTAGATAAAGATACGTTTTAGAAACTTCTTAAAAGAATTATAAAGATCCCATGTTTAACCGTCATTTTCTGAACCATACCCAGAACAGTTTTAAGGGCAGTTAAGGAGCTTGGATCTGATGGAATGTTATTTGTTCAAACAGTGCTGACGACTGGTGATTGATTCATCCCGAAAAAAAAGGTCTTAGCAGGCATTACTTGTGCTTTTCACTAGACTTTTTTCTCTTCACTCTATCAGTCTTTTCTTTGCTGACTGCAAAGGAAAAAGCTTTTAAATGTTACATTTTCACTAAAGATTGAAGCAGGAAGAGAAAGAAAAGAGTAAGCAAGTAAATGGAGGAGGAATTTTTTTTTTTTATAGAAATGACTTCCTTAATCCACAGTTTAACTTTTGACTAGATTTCATTTTTTTAACACATAATTCTTTTAAAAAGAAAGATGTATGGATTTGATTTGTGGTCTTAAGTAAGCATTTGTGGTGACTGCAGCTTCTTCAGGGCTTGTCAGGTTTTTATATACACAGGGTTGGAAATCTATCTTAATTGGAGTTGTCTTTGACTTTTTTTCTGCAGGTGTTTGCTAAAGTGTTCAGCCATGAAGCCTTGGAGTCCTACCTCCCAAAAATCCAGCAGGTCATCCAAGAGAGCCTCAGAGTATGGAGCTCCAACCCTGAACCCATCAATGTCTACAGGTAAGCCAGTAGTCCAGGAAGGTTACGCAGTAGGCTTAAACAATCCTCTATGACCTTTGAGCTCTACTACTGTCATTGGCCAAGAGGTGGTCTACGTCCTGGACTGGTAGCATTCAATCAAATAGCAACACATCCTCATAGAACCTCACCCTAAAGAAAGGATTAGTGACTTATTAACCTGACTGTCATGTTTTTGAACTGGAAGTAGAAGTTTTTGTACCAATATTGACTGATTTTGCCATAAAGCAAAATTGCAATCTTTTCTTCAAACTCTGTTGCAATTATGATTTTATATTGACTTTAATTTTCACTTGGCATTTAGTTGTTTCACTCCAGAGTTTCATTCTATCCAGGAACTTAAAAGCTTTCTTCCTGAGAGCCAATTTTGCAGTGTTAAAGTAACAATTTAAGAGTGCATTTGGTCCCACTCTGAATTAGCCTTAAATTAGAACTCTACATAGCGTGTATCTCACTCCAGTTTTTGTTCTAATAACTCCAAAAGAGTTTATGTACTTTGACTCAGCATATTTATCCCTGTGGACTTTAGAATTGGTTATTGTTTTGTTGACAAGTTCTTTCTTCTACTTGCATGCCTGGATCTGCATGCTAGCTGCAACTCTTCCCTTCGTTGTGGCATTAAACCCAACTTAAGAGTATTATAAGTGCCATCTAAAGGACTACATTTTGAAAATCTGTGTCTTACTCTTGTTAAATGCAATGTGACCAAAACAGAATGTCTCTGTGAGACTGCTTTTTGTTCAATTTACACAATATCACAAATGCATTTAACTTCACAGCCCTTGAGGCCTGTGTGAAAATAATCAAAAATAAATAATTTTGTTAACCTTTTTTCCTGCAGCTCGTCAACAAAAAACTCATTTTAGCTATTTATTACTAATCAAACCTAAGATATGACAGGGGAACCCGTGTTTGAGTAACAAAAGTGATAGAGAAATATAACTAATAAATTTAATATTGATACTAGATCTATCTTTCATATAAAAACAAACAAACTTGTTAGATCTGGTAAAATCAGCTATTTAAAAAAAGACCTAAAATAAAGACCAGCATTTAATAAAATTACGAAATTCATATAATAAAACCAAGAACAATTAGAAACATAAAACAGAATTTTGTAGACCAGTATTAACGGAAGAAAGTTAGTTATGATTTGCTTGTCGTTGGGTCTGTAGCAATTCTATTGCCTTTGGAAAGAAGAAATAGGATTTCCTAGCTGTTCTTTATTTCCGGTAGTTGCACCAATACTAGTACAACATTTCTTGGCCAGACTTGGTCTCTTAGGTTTTGCCAGATTTGCAAATAAAGATTTCTCAGGTTTTTGTTATGTCTTTGGTGTAACTGTGTGGGTGTTAATCCACAGGGAGAGCCAAAGGCTATCATTCACCATGGCGGTAAGGGTGCTGCTGGGCTTCAGAGTGGGGGAGGACGAAATGAGACACCTGTTTTCAACCTTTCAAGACTTTGTAAACAACCTCTTCAGCCTGCCTATTGATCTACCGTTCAGTGGCTACAGGAAGGTAGGATTTCGAAACTGCAGATTCCCCTTGCAAAACTTTTCCCTATATGATTCATGCCTGCTCTGAGACAACCAATGTGAACAGAGCGCTCTATACTCATAATATACAAAGACATGGTTGACTAGTTGTTTAGAGTGGTTCTGTGTATTTTTTGTTTCCAGGGTATTCGTGCACGAGACACCCTTCAAAAAAGCATAGAAAAAGCCATCAGAGAAAAGCCTTTGCGGTCCCAGGGGAAGGATTATAGTGATGCTTTAGATGTCCTGATGGAGAGTGCCAAAGAGAACGGCTCCGAGCTCAGCATGCAGGAGCTCAAGGTAAGACATCTCTGCAAAGATAGTAGGAAGACCCCATAGTCTTCATCTCATGGTGATTTCAATACATAGGCGGAGCCAAAAAACTGACCACAGCCTAGGCTCTATCAAAAACTTTGTCATGTTTGTCCTACTTGTACTGTAAAATTTGTAAAACTTTTTCAAAAACAACAGATGAAAAACCTTGAAAACATTTGGCTTTATGTGCTCAAGGGTTTGACGCCGCCCACATCTAATTTGACCCACAAATTGCAGATTGCTGTTTTGGGGCTTGAAAAAAAAACACCTTTTAAAAGGAAAAGGAGGGCTTAAACAAATACTTTGGATTTTAGCCAAACACACAAGAACTCACTGAATTAGTTAAAGAGATATGCAACAATATTTTCAATGATTATATGTATTTCAAATAAATGCAAACATCTAATGAGACATATTTGTCAAGTTTCTTGTAAAATAGGGAGCAAATGAAGGATAGGCACACCCACTATTTACCTATTTGAGGAATTCTGTGGAAGCCTATTCCCCTCTCCGCTTCACTGTTTGTGGCTTTTGGGTGAAGTCCAGGACCAAAAATAAGTCAACACTGCTCTTGCTAGGGGTCTGAATAAGCCCTCCTGTGCGTGCACACTCAAATGTGCAAAAAAAACTGAATTGGGGAGGCCCTGTCGTAGAGGCCTAGGCTCTCCCTTTCAGGTCTGTGACCCATTTCAAACACACACATGCAGAGAGAAGCACAGACCCTGACAATGGGGAGATTTGCAATCTAGGGCATTCAGCTTAGTCTTATTTATTTTAGGATCAACACCAGGCTTTCTGTATTATTGGAAAACAAAAGTGCCACTTTTCAGAAATCAAAAATATTTACATATTTCAGTTGTAAGTTCTAAACCGGTTAGTCATAATTGCCAAGACAAAAAATAGAAAAGGTGTGAATAGAAGATTTCTTATTAAAACAAGTGTCATCCTTCAAATTGCTATGATTTTATTTTTAACCAACCGTGGTTTTCAAAATAAGACACTGTCTATTTTCTGTAATCAGAAAGCACCAAAGGTATTGTTGGTACATCAAGGCGATTTGTGTCCAAACTTCAAGATGAAGCAAAAAAATATATATTTTGTAATTTTCTTGCTATTCGATTGAAAAAGATCATCACTATTTTTTTTCATTTAATCACAAAATTGCCCCTTTTTGTAGAAGCCTGCAGGTCGTAGTTGTTTTAAAACTGATAATAAGGGATAGCTATATCAACTTGTTTTCATGCCTCCATAGGAATCAACCATCGAGCTGATCTTCGCTGCCTTCGCCACTACTGCCAGCGCAAGCACCTCCCTTATCATGGCGCTCCTCCGCCACCCTCAGGTTCTGGAGCGCCTCAGGGAGGAGCTGAGAGGCAGGGGACTCCTCAACAATGGCTGCCTCTGTCCTGAAAGAGAGCTGAGGCTTGATACGATCGTCAGCCTGAAGTACCTGGACTGTGTCATCAAGGAGGTGCTAAGACTGTACACACCAGTCTCTGGTGCTTACCGAACAGCCATGCAGACCTTTGAACTAGATGTAAGTTTTTATGTAGAATACATGTCATTTGTCCAGTAATTTCTCACCATCCAGATTAACATGCAATAACTACTGGTTAAAATAAAGAGTGTATCAAACCATCTCACCTAATGGAACAGTGTCAGGCCCCATTCTGCTCAGGTTGTTAGGAGTCAATTTAAATGTCCTGCTTGTCTTGCTTTTATATGCAAATATATGATAGAATACTTCTCTTAATGCTATGGAGTATATATCTGTCATGAAATATAGTCAATTTCTTTCAACCCAGAAGAAAAACCCTTCCTTCAAGGCAAGGCCCTACTCTCCCAGTCTGTTTGTGGTCATTTCATGACGTCACCTAATACCACTTCTAAAGGTGGGACAAAGTCTTAAACTGGGGGAAAAAAATATGTTTTTTTATGACTTTAATATTACCATAAATAAGAAACGTTGATGTGCTGTGTAGATTAGCTGCTAAAGAGCCAGAGCCGTTGTTTTAAATCACCACCCCCAGTCGGTGTTTCTTAACAGTGCACAAACAGTGGGACTGAGGTAGGTGCTTCCTGAAGGGGGGCAGTCTTACGTAGCTATCATAGACTAACTTAAGTATAAATCAGTGACTGAAATGGACATTCACTGCAACATTAAAATGGTCATAATAACATTTTTAGGTAATTATTTCTGCCTCAGGCATTTTAAGGTACCTTGTTAATATTCGGGCTTTGCCCTTAAACTGTAAATGGCAAGAATTTAATAATAATAATTGAACTTTATTGATCTCACATTGGATAAATTTACCTTTGCATTAAACCCATCCCCTTGTGGAGCAGTGAGCTGCCATTGTGCAGCTCCCAGGGAGCAATTGGGGGTTAAGTTGCTTGCTAAGGAACCCAGAGTGCAGGCTGTGGGGATCAAACTGGATATTGCAATCTTTTCAGAGCACAAATGCACTGCTCTAACCCACTAGGTCAACAGTACCCCTAAAACTGACTATTTGTATCAGCCAAATTCATTTGTAACCATGTTTTTCTTTTCTTTTTTTTTCCTTTATAGGGCGTCCAGATTCCCAAGGGCTGGAGTGTTATGTACAGCATTCGTGACACTCATGACACAGCGGCTGTCTTTAAAGACGTGGAGGCCTTCGATCCTGACCGCTTCAGTCAGGAGAGGAGCGAAGACAAAGAGGGCCGCTTCCACTATCTGCCGTTTGGTGGTGGCGTTCGATCCTGTCTGGGAAAGCAGCTTGCCACACTTTTCCTTCGCATTCTAGCCATCGAACTGGCCAGCACAAGTCGCTTCGAGCTAGCCACTCGCCACTTCCCACGTGTTGTCACGGTTCCTGTGGTTCACCCTGTCGATGGGCTAAAGGTTAAGTTCTACGGCCTGGACTCCAACCAGAACGAGATTTTGGAAAAGTCAGAAGAACTGCTTGGCACAACTGTTTAATAAGGGCATGTGCTTATGAGGGGGGAGTGGAGAGGTTTGGTGATGTAAATCATTAGAAAGAGGACAGATGAAAGGAAAAACTAATATTTTGGAATAATCATTCCTTTTTCACCTTTGTTCTGCCAAGTTGGAGCATAATTTCAGACTCTTCGTGTCTTCTAACAACTGATGATCAGGACTTTTCTTTATGAGAGGAGAAAACTGCCAAAAAGTTAAAAAATGTGCTCTGTTCTGTGTGTTTTCTGAAGAATTATACTTACAGTAAATGTACAAAAAGCTATCTAATATAATTTGAAACAGTGTAGTGCACAACAGACTTTTGGTGAGATGAAGTGTTGAGATGAGAAAAGTAATAGTGTGGAAGAGGTGTGAGATAAAACAGGGTATAGAGAGAAGGAATATAATTTCAAAACCATTTTGCCTGTGCTTACATTCAACAAATAATTTTAGGTACAAGAGATTTTATGGAAAAAAAAAATTTTCATTACACTTTAAGCATATCCGGTCATTTGAATCAGAAGCTGGCCTTGCACCTTTGAGCTAAAACATGTAATATTGTTTCTGATATAGGGATGAAGAAAAAAGATCAGAAAAAGAAAGATCAACAGCAAAACCGCTTTGATTTACTGGAATTTTTCAGTCCATGGTATCTTTGGAAAAAAAACCTTTGGTGCTCGTACCATTATAGGCAGAAAGCAGACATTTATCATTAAGTTCACATTACATAACTGGCAACACACTCTGCAAAAACAGTTTAAAGAGTGCATCAAGAAAAAAAAACTGTTACATCTTTGTTCGTTATAGTCCTTTTTGGTTCACCATTTGTAAAAAAAAAAAATATGTGCATCCGATCTATGTTTAGGTTTATGAACCAAGGTTAAACCATCTTCATTAGGTTTAGGATCTAAATCTGCTTAGTCTGGGACCCGAATGTTTGTAAATGGTCATATTAATAAATAAAGCCTACTTAGTTTGGTTTAAGAATCAATTATCTTTAGTTAGGCAACCCAGTTTCTAATGTCTGATTGGGTTTAAGAACCAAATGTAGATGTCCGAATCGGAAACAAACAATCTGATTCAACCCCAAAATTGGGGTGGAAAATTGGTTGACTTACCTAACAGCTGGATGACAGATCACACTTAAAAATGTAGTTTTGGGATCATGTTTTCAAACAATGAATAATATATTTGGATATATATACAACCCATTCACATATATACCTCTGTTTCTCTTTTAAGACAAAGTAAAGCAATTACAAAAAGAAAAAGAAAAAAAGAAAAAAAAAGCACAGGTTGCCTATTCCCAACATTAAGAAGCGGGAGCTTGAATGTTTCCTAAATATTATTAACCTAGTGATGCTGACATGAAACTCAGGTGCAAAGACAATGTAAAAGTAATTAGAGTATCTGCTTTTTGATATATTTCTGACATTCTTAGATAGCTATAATTTCATAGTTGGAAAAACTATATAGCAAACTTCAATTTTGTTTCAGGCTCATGCAATTTTCTATCCATCTATCATACTCTTTACAGGTGTTTAGTGGGAAATAGCAAATGTTCAGTTTTCAAAATTGAATTCTGTGCTCTAGGTATTAAACACTACTTTCAACTAAATTTCTTGGGTGTTTAAACCTATTTCATAGTAGGTTTGCTCCAATAAAGCAGTGCACCTTCTTATGGTGGAACCAGGTTATCAGATCAGCGGTTAGAGTGAAAGTGTAATGGAAGAGACCTACATACATGCTGCTTAATTGCTGCCTTATCTTTGTCTTTATTGTGCACTTCTGTTATTATACAACCACCACTGAGGACAATGGTGCTTATGCTCTTGTTGTTCCTCAAATCAGTAATAAGATGGTAAAGCAGACTCAGTTCAAGAAGAGTAAATTTGATTGAGTTGATTGTTCAATCAGAACCTTTGGAGTTTGTTCAGTTATTCCACATATTGGGGAGTGGATTTTCCTCAGTGGAGTTCCTGAGCTTTCTAGAGGAACTTTCAGACATTCCAGCCTGCTCTAGGACTGTTCTAAAGAGCCAGAGAAAAGGACCGCTCAAAAGGTGTTTACTAATGGACAACCATGACTGCCTGTGCCATACCATTTTCATTTTTCTCTACCACACCACTGATTTTTTTTTTACAACAATACAAATCTGAAAACTGAAATGTTTTTTTTTTTGCTGCTTTTCTTGTATACATTTTCAAATTGAAAGTTATAGATTGTACTGAGTGAGATTTAATATGTCAATTATTTTTAAAACTTTTTTTAAGCATAAAGAACATTAATAGGGTTATTAATAGGTGTGTATTAACTTGTACATTATTCCTTATAAGAATATGGGGAAAATAGCTATTTACATAAACTAATAACCTAATATTAATGTTATTGTATAATTAATATTGTTGCTATGAGATATTTGAAATGCTATTTTTATTCTATTGCAGATTTTGAGTTTTAGCCAACATGAGAATGTCTTTGGTAAAATATTGGATGTATTTAGAATGTCATGAATTTCATTTTATATTGTAAACAGTGTTTAAAATGTTGATATTGTTGATTTGATTACTGTAATAATTATTATTTTGTTATCCAGACATATTATCACTGCATTTTATTTTTCATTAATTATAGAAACAGAAAGCACTTGCCAGATAAGTTTATTTTTTAAGTGCCATGCGACTACAGTTTCCTCTTCCTTTCACCCTGTTTATTTCTAAATCTGCCCTATGTCCTTCTGTACATATTTGCAATTCTTTTTACAGGAAGAAATGTTCATTTAGTTTAATTATAAATGTCTTGTGATAGTTTGTCTTTTTTGTTACCAAGATTGTTATGTGTACTCCTGTAATAAACCACAAAGGAAAAATACATCTCTATGTGAAATGATTTATAATCTAACTGACTAAAGAGAAAAAGGAACAATGGTATTGTTTAAATTCCTTAGTGTTAAGATATGCAATATCATGTGGTGGGGTTGCCTATCTAAAGTCACAAAGGGAATACAACATAGGGGAGGCAATCTGTTTTCAAGACATCTTTGAATGTGTCCAACAGTAATGTGGGCATTATTGATAATAGCGAAACCAAATCCTCTGCAAACATGTGGATGACTCTTCCCTGATCAGAGAATACATAGAAAAAAGTCTATGAGTGACAGAAAACAAATAATGCACATCTCCCTTACAGGACCATCCTCACATATTGGTGGACAAATTAAGGTGTTGAGTTTCTTTTTATTAGTAGAGAGTTGATCACTGGGTAATGCCTATATTAGTAAGTTACTTCACTAGTCAATCACTGCCACCTGCCAGTATGACAGAGTTAGAGATAAAGTGATATAAGCTAGATGGGCTGAGGAACATAAGGTGTTGCACACTTTTGCACAGCACAAAAGTGTTTAAGCTAATACCAACAGCAGTTTTCAAAGCGCTAAGACTCTAGTTTAAACTTTATTTTTAAAACATAGGCTATATGATATACATATAATACATATGTTATAAATATAAAACATATAATTTTACATAAATATACAATAAATTAATCTACATAAATTATATTACAAGGATAAATGACTGCTTGACCATTTTAAAATCTGAACACCTTCCTACATATTTAGTATGGGGAGCAGAAGTCCTCGATTTCTGGGGACAATCCACCTTTTAGACCACCTGACCCCAACTAAAGCTGTCCCTGGAAACGTCCCTGATTTTACTGTTTTTATAAATAAGAGAGAAGGTGAAGGCTTAGGTGTAAATCCTACTACTCAGTTTGGCTGAATAAAATAAAAGTGTCTCATGAAAATATAGGAATCAGTAAAGGAAAACGGGAAAAGTAACAGGAAAACTGAATGAGACAAAATCTGCATGATCTGAGAATGATGGAGGAAGAGATAATCACCTGTTTATTGTTCATTTATAATGATGTTTTTCTTTGTAGCTCTAAATATTGTGGTATATAGCACTTTTAGTATTTCATCAGGTGACAAAATAATAATAAAAATAATAGTATTGCTAACATTATGTATGATGAGATTTTACCAGAATAACTATAGTAACGGACCTCAGTAGCCAGGCAGACACACCTGGATAAATCAGCTTGTCCAGTAATGAAAGACAAGGAGCAAACGAGCTGCTGAACTTCAGGAAATGGAGCTGTGCATAGAGCGCATTAGTAGGAGAAATGAATCTGCTTCTTTAAAATGCACAGGTCTATTGACTATGGATTCAACATTAATCAGGTTGTTATGGATCAAATTGCAATTTCCCTTGGAGGCATGAGAATACAGATCAGTTTTGTTGCACCCCGCCCCACTGACAGCACATCCTCAAGTAGCCCTTCCTTTAAAACCACTGAAACCCCATTTTTCTTCTTCTTTCAATGGTGACCAATGTGCTGGACAAAGAGACATAACCATCCAGTTGGACACTACACCCAACGTTGTGCAGAACCTTGAGCTGTGGTCTGTTTTTGCTGGCGAAAAGGACTGAATCCCTCCTTGAAGAGGCTTTAAACTGAAAATGCAACACACCCTCGCTGGTGCTGTCTGTTTGTACCATGGATGAGGAGTTTTTAAATCTCCGCCCATTGATTAACTAAAACAACACCTGGATCCGTCCTGTCTAGACAATCTGTACTGGAGGTGCCTTTTGTGCTGTGAGCCGTCCTAAGCCATGGACCACTGAGTCACTGCCTGCCCTGTGAGGTGCTGCAAAACCCAGCTGGGCTAAGTGCATTATGAAGGCTCCGTAAGTGCCCAAAGGTTTCGGATTCCACGAAACTACCTGTGCTGTATTAGACAGACTCTGAGTTTTCCCAGTCACCAAACAGACATAGGATCCAAACAAAGAAAGCACTAAAAGTTGTCTTTAAATAAGCCTTTACACTTCAGCACATTTCAGAATAAGCAACTACAAGTCTTAATGAAGTTTTGCCCAACTTTGGCTGAAATACTGCAGAGTACCCTTAAACTCCTAGGCGCTGATGGCCCCACATGTTTAACCATTTACTGGTGATTTTCCAATCAACTAAGGAACAGTGAACTTTCATGAGCCCTTTTCTTACTTTCAGCTGCCCATAAACACCAAAGGATAAGAAGCAGGCACACGTGTCTACTGTGTTATAGTAACAATACTTTGATATGTGGGGTGAAATAACAGAGAGAGACAGAGATCAGCAGTGAGTGGTTAAAAAAGGGATTCAAAGCAGATATCTGGGCCTTGTCCAGAGTGACACACCGCTCACTGCTGGAACAAGTTTAGCTCAGTTTGTTTGTGGGTTTGCAGCCAGGAGAGCCTGTTTGCCACACATAGTACTCCAGGACGAACCACTTCAAGGGAGCTGAAATTATTCGATAGTTTTTATGAACAGGGAAATGCTCTGTCATCAGTGACAAATGTCTGTTTAGATTTTGCCCCCACATATAATCTAAGCCCGAAGGAAATTGTTCTCTAGAGTGTGTTTATACCTAAAAGTTATGCTGCTTTAACGTGCAAAACAACACTCACAAAAAGAAAGAAACTGAAAAAACATATTTTATCCAAATAGAAATGATGACAGCAAAGATTAAAACCAACTGGAAAATACTGGATATTGATCCTACTCAAAAAAAATCTTTATCACAATTATCTTGATCTACATTCAGTGCCAACCAACATCTGCACTTTCATTGATACTTTTTAAATAAATACCTTCACTGAAACTTGTTTTTATTTTCCCTACTCTACAGTATAGGTATGCTGCCAACTTGACATTGACTTAACTTGATTTACCTCACTGACTTAGCAGAGGTTGATTGTTAAACGATACTTGTTGTAATTGTTTTATCTTTGTAAATTTACCTCAGGTCATCATGTGTGTTTTCTTTCTTTAATGGGGTCTCAACCCGTATCTGCATGTTGCGATAATGGGCAGTGCCTGTTTTTGGAACTTTTAGTTTTTTGTGGCAGTTCTTTGACGTCTTTAATTATGTTGTGTGGATTAAGATTAGAAAATAAAATTAACCAAGGCAAGCATTAACAGCATGGGGCAAACAGGACACCACTGATGGAGGATAACATAAAAAAATTCCTGGACTTTCTCTCAGAGGAGTTTTTTTTCTATCAGACTGACTCAAAAATGTATTCTCCAGCTTCTTGAAGAGATGAAAGCTCTCTGCTCAAATTTTTCAGAGAAGGACAAGAGGATGGCCTATCTAGAAGACATAGTGTCTGACCTATCGCAGTATACAAGGATGTATTACGTTATTATCACCTTGCTACAGATTAAACCCTGGTAATTTACTCACATGGTGGATTCCAAGAACCGGGAAAGCTGGATTTTGATTCCATAGAACAACAGGCTGCTAATTCTCTCTTGTCCCATGGGATTAACCTGAACAATGGGCGCATCAAAGATTGTCACCCCTAGCTGACAAAAAGCTCTAAAGATAAACATTCCCTCATCATGAGGTTGATCAATCGAAAGCACAAAACAGCTCTGCTAATAGGAAGGAGGTGGAGGGGGAGAAATGCGTACATCAATGAACACCTGAGTAAAAAGGAATGCCAACATTACCAAGGTCAGGTGTCTGAAAAAACACTGAAACTCCAGGAAAAGTAAACAAAAAACTGCCAGGATTTTATTTAGCTGTTGGAAAATCAAGGAAGGCAGAGGTTTTGTCATCAGTGATACAGGGCTTCTGGGGAAATAAAGGTGAGCACCATGTGTGGACACATGGTAGTGTCTTGATTTAATTAAAGGTCTGACCCAAAATGCAGAAGACCAAACAGAGAGACCACGGAAAAGTTTAACTGGTTTATTAGAATATGGTGATGAATCCAGTGCTGCTCTGAACACTGTCAAACCGGAACTGGAAGGTGATATGTATGTATGCTTAAACATTGGTAGATGTTAATATAGAACAGGGGTAGGATTTAATAAGTTTTATTACTTCTTCCTACTCCTTTTCGAACATGATGGGATGTACATATGTTTTTTTTTTTTCTTTTTCTTCTTTTTTTTTTTTTTGTTTTGTATGACTTTATTAATTTACTTATATTTGCTTTTTATTAAGTGTTCGAAATAAATGATCAATCAATCAAGGGAAGGCACTGCGGTTAGTTGAGGCTCAGTGGGAAATTAGATTCTTAGGCTTGAATTGGAGGAATAGGTTGCAGATTCACTTCTCCAGATAAAGGTGTACTTTATGGAATCCTGTCTGTGTGGGAAGATTCCAGTGATTGTCTTGTTTGGTGTTGGGCGGTTTACTCAGACTGCGGTTGTTCCTAGGTGAACGGAGAAGCTGACTGCCACTCAGATTTCCTGCGGTACTTGAACGGGCTGTGGTACAGATGAAACCGTTGCTCAGTGTGAAGCTCAAATGACCTCTTGGGAAAAGTGGACCCAAACTTCCTGTTTGGAGTGAACGGAGAAGCTGATTGCCACTCTGATTTCCTGTGGTACTTAGGACACTAACTCACAAGTGGAATGACACAATGAGCATGTCATAACTCAGTGACAGTTACATACATTTTCCAGCTGAGATGCAAAACATTTTAAGCTGAAAAACTTTAATTAAATGGATTATGAAGGGCAGGACATGGAGGAGGACAGTGACCCAAAGAATAAATTTTTAGAGTGATTCATTGATAACTGCATTTGCCTTATTGAAGAGCAATACAACAGTCCAGTTTAAACATAAAATAATCTTTTTAACAGTCAAGATTGTATGCAAATTTTAACAACATCAAATACTATATAGGCCAGTTACACAACTGTCTAGCAACATTATAACAGTGGCGGACGATAACAGCATTCAAAGCCTTCACTGCTGGCCTAAAATCAATCAGAAACACTTAACTAAATTTACAAAACTAATTCTTTTTTTTCCA